TTTATGGACTGCAATAACGGAGGAAGAAAATGGATTCTGTAAACTATTTCTGTGTCGATTTCTTCACAATCTTCCAAAATACCCAGTGACAACACACGTCCAGTTTTCTAGTACAGGGCAGAAGTATTATGTTGTCTATTTAATCTACCAGTTTTATTTTGTATATTTGAAAACAAAAAAAACCCAAAACCTTTATGAGTGATTGAGAGAAGAAAGCAGAAGCCCTCACTCTTCTACAGCTCTGCCACTTGTCATTTTTGTGATGAGTAGAAAGTTCAGCCTCAAACATGATCCAAACATTTGCCAAGGAGTGTGTAAGTGGACCCCAGAGAATGACTAATTCAAAGTCCTGCTGCGGTCGTGGTGATCACTGATGGCTCTAATGGTTCTCCGTCTGAAACGCCTCTTGATTTTGACATTAGAGTGGAATATGGAGACGTGTAGCCGTGAGGATTGGCACGTTTCCCCTGCTGAAAGCCATGGCGTTCTGTCGTCTTTCTGAAGCTGACGAGTGGTCAAAGGAATCAATCCCTTGTGTTTCGCCGTTTTACACCCCAGGGAAACGAGACATAGATTACCAATTAAAGGTTCTGGTCAGTTGATCGACTTAAAAAAGTAGAGTACAAAGTAAAGAAAAGCTGCTCCAGTTTTGTTTTGTAGAAATATTATGGATGTAAATAATGACGGCAGCAGTGAAAGTCATGTACTCTTAACACTGATCCACCAGTTGGGGCTGAAAGCTGAAACATGTTGCTCCAAGTAACATTTTCCTTCATCCGACCACAGATGCCGGACTCTAACATGCAGGCGGCATGGCAACTGGTGTTTCAGATCTTTGGACAGAAACACGTACACAGTTAGCACCATTCCTGAAACTATCTTTACAGTTTCATATTTTCGTCATGCTTCTCAGAACCTACCGTTCAAATGCTGCTCCATAAATCCAGTCCAACGAGCCTAACGTTTTAACCCACTTTTAACTAAAATGAAATACTGACACACTTAGTCATACATAAGACAAGGATCACGCAGTTTAATCTAAACTCTGCTGGAGTGCCTCTCCTCCTCTCCTTGGGAAAAATCGAGGCAGACAAAGAGGACCTTATGAGAAGAGTATGGCGTTCATTCCCACTGCAGCAGCGCAGTACTCCCATCCTCCTTCTGCAGTTGGACACACTGAAATATAACACATTTCATAGACAGGAGCTTTCTGTTTGTCTGCGTGTTATCATAAGAAGATACGAGAGGCGACACAGGCAGCTGTGTCAAACAGAGCTGGCTTTGTTCAGAGCGAAAACTGCAGCAGCAGGTTTTTCTATGAGTGATTTAAAAAAATGAGTTTATTATTAAAGGATCTACAGAAAACATAGTGTGAGATGGAATATTTGAAAAAGCGTTCATCAGGAGTTGTAAGGAGTACTTTGAATTATTTACTTCTTATTTTGGGACAATGGACGACAATGGCAAAATAAGCTCAATCTGAAAGTTGTGGGTTCGAATCCAGGGAAGGGCGTTTGAGCACCAAGTTATCAATCGATCTGAGAATGTGACTGGAGTGCACAGCATCTGAGCGGAGCGATAAAGTATGAATTTACCGTTTTATTTAATACTACATATAACGGAAAATGTTCAGAATTTTACATTCTTAATATGCATTAAAATGCATATTATGCATTAATGCATATTAAGAATGTAAAATTCTTTATGTATGTAGAAGAAATGTATAGAAATGTACAAGTACAAGTACATTTCTATAGCCTGCTGTAATGAATGCCACTACTGCAGGTGGCAAGTTCCTGTTTATCACTGCTTTTAATGTTTGCTTCACAATGAAAAAAAAAAGTTTTTTTTAATTAAATCATACATGAAATAATCATCTAAAATGTGATCAAATTTTTTATTGAAAAATGTTGCGAAAATGAATGTTTATTTCATGGGTCAGCAGATAGATTGCTTCTTAATGCCTTTCTTAATTATAGTTATATGCATCAAAAAGCTGACAGCTGGAATATAATGTGGGGAAAGTTTTTAAAAATGTATCAAACAAAGTGGACTGTATATATTTAGAACATGGAAATCCTCTATTGAGATCCTGTATTTTTCATGCTACTCTGCCTATTCTTGTAGTGCTAACAGAATTAAATCATAAAACATGCAAAATAGAAGCTTTATAATTGGTGTACAATTAATTTTACTTACAGTAATATTTCCCCTTGTGAATGTTTTTCTAATGGACTTTGTCTTTTTCACCCTCAGATACTTGGATGCAGATATTTTAATGCATTTTCCTGTCTTCCTGTCAAAAGTAGAACTTTAACATTTCTGCGTGAATATGAGTAAATATGTCTTGTTGACTCAAATTATCTCAAAAGTTATGAGATAATCTGTTTTTTGTTTGTTTGAATGCGATTTTGAAAACACTCTCCACATGTAGAGGTGTCCTTGTTCATAAATATACCCATCTTTAATTGCATCAAGACTCAGCTCCCTGGACCAATTTTAAGTTTACAAAGAGCTTTACATCATAAAAACACTTTGAAATTCTTTTTTTCTGTTTCTTGTTAATTTTTGCAAGATTTTCTTATCTTTGTTTAGCTTTGTTTGTCACATTTTCAGTTTCAGTTAGTGAAATCATTCATCTTATTTACAAGTTTTGGGCACCAGATATTATCTTTTGATCTTTTTCATGACTTATTTAGATGAAGATACGTCTGACTTGATTAATTTGCTTGTTCTCTTGTCTTTCCTGTTTTGAAAAGGGGAGAAATAGGCCTCTGTGTCAAGTTATATTTATTCCGTGGGAAACAGGGAGTCATGTTCCTAGACACTCGTTACAGAGTAATATATGTATTACAATGCGATGTTTGGTTATGTTTATTTTATAAGAAGTGTTTCAAAATGTGTATTTTTCCTCACTTTGTCAGGCCTGGAGTTGGTATCACTGTTACCGTGCAGCAAGAAGTTTAGGTTCGAAACCCAGCCTGGGGTCTTTTTGTGTGGCGTTCCTGTGCATGCCTCCACAGCCCAAAAACATGACTGTTAAGGTTAATTGTTAGGGTCAAAGGTCAACGCAACATGTTGCAAAGCTCTGATCATCGCAACCTGGTTTCTTAATGAGTTCACTGTACTACAGTGGACCTACAGACTTACCAGATCATTACTCAATACAGAACTTGCACCAATACTAACCTGACCCTGACGCTTCGATGACAGTGTGGACAACATCACTAAGAATGTTTCTGACAACTTGTTGAATCTTCGCCATGAGGAACTGAAACAGCTCTGAAGGCAAAAAGCTGTACATGTGTCAAACTCAAGGCCCGGGGGGCCAAATCTGGCCCGCTGTAGCTTTTTATGTGCCCCCCCTCCACCCCCCAGACTCCAAATTACATCAAGAAGTTCCTCCGGTTTCTCTCAAAGTTCACACAAAATCAACAGATTCACAAAAATTTTATTCTGATTCGCACATTTTCTCTAAAACATTGGGTTTAAGTGACTGCTGCTTCTGCCTTACTTGACATCACGTTATATAGATCGTGGCCAAAAGTCACATTTAACATCGTACATTGGAGCAAATGTCGTAAAAATTCCTTACAAAGATTTCTAAATTGGTACCACAAAATCTGTAACTTTGACTACAAAAAATAAAATCCTGGAGGAACGGCTATTTTAACAGTTTAGTTGGTTTTATGAATACATTCTGGCACAACCGGACCTTTAAGAATGTTCTTATTTTTGATATGGCCCAGAATTAAAATGAGTTTGACACCTCATTGAATGGGGGGGTTCATTCTGGTACCAGCTAAGTGTACCCAATAATGTGGCCGCTGAGTGCATCTTAAATATTTCCTTTTCGTCAGGCCTCTATGTTTTACAGTCATGTTATTTGCATGTGGATGCAGTCAAACACATCAGACCATCTTTTAGGCAGCTTTAAAGACTTCTAGGTCCTTTTTTTTTTTTTGTCAAAAAACATTGAAACAGAGACACCACAGAAACAACTACATTAATGGGATCCTAACAAAATAACAGTGAAATATTACCCCCATGCATGAAAACAAGTTACACCAGGAGTTCACTCTGGTCTGCGATTTGCATTAAAGGCTGTATGTGACGGGTTTTGAGTAATGTTCCCTCCCTGACCTTATCATACCATCACACAATGAGTGCACTCAGTAAAACAGTGCTTCATGCTCTACCAGTCTGCCAGTGTGACTTAAATTTGCACTAGATTATGTTCTTGATCTTGAGATCTGCTTTACATTCAGTTTACATTCCGCATGCATGCCTTTATAAGGAAGGGTTCTGATTGCAAAGGGTGTTGGAGTGTCAACGAAAATCTTCACCGACCAAGTTTGTTTAGTTGAAATTTTACTCACTGAATAGCTTTCGAGTCTTCAGGCCAATGCGGCACAAAAGCAACGTTCACAAACTTTAAATTTCTCGTGGATGTAAGCCGATGACTGTCTTTGTGTGTTTTCAGCCACGCACCGGGCTACGACAGTGACCCCAGCACCCCGATGGTGTACAGCTGCAGCACGCAGTACCGCATACACACACACGGAGTCTTCAGGGGCATTCAGGTGGGACTCGGCGCTGCTGCTGCACTTTATTTATCGTCAGCAGGTCATCATCTGGTCAGCTCTGTCTGCATGCGGTTATCCTGCACCTTGTTTTCTAGTTCATGTTTAGTGTCGTATTGAGCATGATGAAAACTTTGCAGCAGGCAGGGGGGACAAGAAAAACAAAACAAAACAAAAAAACACACACACACAAGTGGACTGGTAAAAATATATGGTGTCTTAATGCTAATGCAACGAGCAGGTTGTGCAAGGAGAAAACACTCATATGCAGCAGGACATGTAACGAACATGCACAGAGGTCTTTTTTTAATTTATATATACACAAATACATTAGCAGTGGAGAAACACATGCATAGAGTTAAAACTGTGTAATGATGCAGTCTCCATACGAGGATTCACATGTTAATAAATCATTAGATTTTAATTATCGTCTGTCAGCAGCTCCAAAGGACAGGGAGCGGGAGATTCTCCAGACCTGCTTTTACTCCACTACCAAGATCTTTCTTTCAGGGGCCTGTTTCATCCGTCATCCTGTTCCTTCTTCATTCTTTAGGGTCCACCTTAGGACAAATAGTATAAACAATAGCTCACTCCTGTGCCCCTTAAAGTATAATTTAGAAGCTGCTAAAAGGTGAAGTAACAGATTGACTTGGAGCAAAGTAACGTTAGGGTTTAAGTTTTATTGCAGGGATTACCCAAATTCACAGTCACTGCCAATGATAATACAGCTGAGGCCACAGAGTTGTTTTCTTTTGTTTATTCCACTTTGTGAGCATTTTTTTTTAAATGTGAAAAATACATTTTGTTTCTCTATAAAGGTTTAAAACAGATTATTCAAATGTTCTCATTATCAATTGCAGATAGTTCAATGTGAATTACGAATATATATCTATTAAAAGACATTCGTACGGTGTTTTGAAGGAGGACCAAATGTTAAAAGAAGGCTCTCTAAACCAGCTAGTGGTGAAATGAAAATATAATTGGCCCCCGTTGTTAAATCGCACATGAAAAACGATAAGACGCGTTTTCTGGTTTAGTTTCACAAGCCAGGCCAGACCTGGGGCTAAAAAAATAACTTAAACAGAACCTTTCTGAAAGCATGAAGTAAGCTGAGGATCTCCAAAAACAACATAGCATGTCTGATTAGCGAGAAAAAAAAAAATTTAAAAAACGGAAGAGAAACAAAGTAGTGTGATGATCTGAGGGCTGCTTCAAGAAGTGGATGATTTGCTGTAATTGAGTGAAAACAATTAATTCGGTTCTGTACTAGGAAATCCTCAGTCGTTGACTTTAAGCTCAAGCATTTTGGTCGCCTCCAAATAAAGGTTTTAATGTGGCCTAGTCAAAGTCCAGACTTAAATTCAATTGCGCTTTTGCGGCATGTATTTAAACAGACTTGCCATTGTTAAAAATCCCTCAATGTGTGTTTATTAATAACTGAGTTTTTTTATGGCACTGCAATCATGGATATAAAAATCATGAATTAGTCTTAAAATGCAGTTAAACTAGCACTTAAAACATTTAAATAATCTGTCAGTTCCCAATTAGCTAAACTGTGGATTCTGTTTACTTTTTGTGACTGAGTCATGTAGATTCAGCTCTTCTTGTAACCGCAGATGCTGATAAACAGTTAAATAAATAAAAAAAAAAAAAAAAGTTTTTAACTTTGACTTTAAAGACTTCAAACATTTCAGTTCCAGATACACAGCGTTCTAGATGCTAACAGCGCTAGCATCTGCGGCAGCCATTCTATCTTCCTGGTCATTACACTAAATGCTGAGGAAATTGAAAGCAGATGGCTGGAAGCAGAAGGAGACGGCGGCGGTACGGAGGGAGAGGCGGAGAAATGGAAAGTGTTGAAGGACTGAAGACATTTTGAGAATAGAGAGATAAAGGAGGGTCATGTTGTGTGTGTACGAGTCAGGACAGAGGATGTTAAATTGTGTTATTCTCCTCCAGTGACGCCTGAAATGAGGAGTGGGGTTCTCTGAGAGGGGGTCTGCCTAAAAGGCGTGACTAACTGCTCCCTTTGGGATGCAGTCATTCTGGGGTCATTTTACTGCTAATTCCCATCTCATGAATATATGACTATTTCACTGTAATGTTCCCCAGACAGATCACAGGCCCCTAATTTACACGGCCGGCTGTATTTAATAGACTCTTCCTTTAATTACATGTTTGCTCCTTTGGTTGTTGACGGCATCAGAGTTTTTGGTTCATTTCACCTTTTTGTTTTTTCCGTGGTTCCAGGACATGCGGCGGGTTCCCAGCATCGCTCCGGCCATAGTTCGATCAGACGCCAGCGAAAAGCGCCCGTTCATGTGTACTTATCCCGGATGCAACAAGCGCTACTTCAAACTGTCGCATCTGCAGATGCACGACCGCAAACACACAGGTGGGAACAACAAAAGCGTAAGAGACACAGTTGTATTAATTATGGGATTTTATGCAACTGAAACTACAAAACTACACACTTATCTCTTCTGCTGCAGCTAGGAAATACTTTTTATTTAAAAAACATTTGGATAGATGTGTTTTCTGTCTGGTCTGATGCAAATTGAATTACAACATCGCTATGTGGGGAATATATTTTATTCCCATATTGATAAGGCCAGGATTCCTGCTCCATTTTTGCTCTGCCTTCTACAACAGGGGTGTTCAAACTGTGGTCCTGGGGGACAATTTTGGCCCTTGGAATAGTTTTGTGTGGTCACTAACCTCAATTCATCAGTGACAAAAATGTGACTCTCCAGCACCAGCAATGGATGGACGCAGTGTGTGATTTTCTTTGGGGCTTGTTGTTCAGTAACTTTTTCTTTTAATCTTCCTAAAGTGGAAGATGTTAAGAAGTTGATGAGAAGTTAGAAGAAGTTAATGAAAAGTAGACCGCAAACATCCATTAGTCAAATAAAAAAGTCCCACTTTTTTAGAGAAAGAGTAACTTCATATTTTTTCTAGTTTATCAGAATAGAGAAAAAAGAGAAAAATTATGAATTAGTAAACTGCATGTTATTTATAAAAAAATAAAAAAAAACTAAACATGTAGCACCTCTGTAAAATTTTGGGTCTATAATTATTTGTTTTTCTTGTTTTATTTAAATAGTGCATGCCTAATTTATTGCTGAACAGGTAAATTTTGTAAAAAAAAAAAAGAAAAAAATCATATTATTTTTGCATTTTTAATTGAAAAGAAATTTAAATCATTCCCAAAGTACTTTGAACTTGCCAGATTTGGCCCTGGGATCCAAAGGTTTGGACATCATTACTGTACAGCAACTAGCATCAGAGATAGTTATGTAATGAACATTTTATTGTCATAGCACAATATTTATATAATAATAATAATAATAATAATAATAATAATAATAATAATAATAATAATAATAATAATAATAAAAGTTATTTTCTAAATCATATAATCTAACATTTAATGAAAATGTTCTTCTTTCTGGGTTTTATTAGAAAGAAATGTAAAAAAAATAAATAAACGTAACTGAAATAGTTTTGTAATTTGTACTTAAATATAGATTATAGAGTTTAAAGTATTTTAGTTATTAATCCATGACCACCTGTGTTCATAAGGTTTAAATATCAATAAATAATCATTCAGTTCATTGTGTATTAATAAGGTCAACATTTGTAGAACATTTCTCATGCAGACAGGAAATTGTTGTACAAAGGTTAGAAAAGAAAACTATGCAAAGAAATAAATAAAAATGGCAAATCCAGCAATTTGCTATTTGCAATCATAGAAAGTAAACATAGAAATACAAAACTAAAAAGATTTAAATAAATATATATGGTAAACAAAATATTACCAAATAAGAATTTGATTAGGTAAATAAGTAAAATACAAAATAAATAATCTGCATAGACAAATAATTAAGAAACTTCAACTGAGTTTTTGGTTCACTTTTAATATGATGGGAGTCTTAACCACTCTTTAAGATTGTATGTGTGTCGTTCTTCGTAAGTAAGGAAATAAACGCAGCTGCTGGCCTAAACTTGACCATTTCTACACACAGTCAGAAGAAGAGAAGAGAGTAAAGCAAATCTACTGGAGAACCACTGCTAAGAGTAGCATCAAGTCAGCAAGTTCATGAAAAGAAACACCTTAGACACCATCACAGACCACCATTTTTAAACTTTTGTATTCATCTCTCAAGGAATAAGTTGGACGTCAGTCAGTTGTATATGTAATCAATCAGCAATATAAAAAAAATGATCAAGAAGTAAATTATGATTAAACCTCTTCTACTCTTTTTTTATTTCTTTTTCCAGGGGAGAAACCCTACCGGTGTGACTTCACAGACTGCGGCCGCAGTTTTTCCCGCTCTGATCAGCTGAAAAGACACCAGAGGAGGCACACAGGTTCGAGGCGTTTTGCTTAAATCAACCTCTTTGGTCTTTGTTCATTTTATTTCTAAGCTTTTCTTTGCTGTTTTTGCTGTTTTCTTTGCTCATCCTCATAGAGCTCATCTCTGCATGACACCAATCTTATGAACAGTCAGACTGCTTTTTTTTTTTTTAAACAGAGATGCTCTGTTTGAAGTGAATTATATCAGATAAAGTTGCTAAATGCTCGCCAAACTTTGGAATGGCTTCCCTGCAAGCATCTGCTCTACTGTTTTTTTCTGTCTCCCTTTGTGTGTGTGTGTGTGTGTGTGCGTGTGCGTGTTGTTGTTGAATTTTTGTGAACGTTTTCTGACCTGTTGGCGTGTTTGAATGTGTGGGCATGCTTATTGTACATGTGTTTAGGAGTTAGACCATTCGAATGCGAGACGTGTCAGAGAAAGTTCTCTCGGTCTGACCACCTTAAGACACACACACGGACTCATACAGGTAAAACAAGTGCGTAAAACTTTTATTTTTCCATTTCTTCTTTGATCCATTTGATGTCTAAATACATGCTACAGACCTGGGTGAGAGAGCTTGGTGTAATAACGTCTCCCTTCGTTTGTCGCCTTCCCCGCCCTCCTGTCTCAGGTGAGAAGCCGTTTAACTGTCGGTGGCCGAACTGTCAGAAGAAGTTCGCCCGCAGCGACGAGTTGGTGCGGCACCACAACATGCACCAGAGGAACCTCAGCAAGCTCCAGCTTTCCATCTGAGTCGCAGTTTTAAACGTGCGGCTCACTCCTGACGTGAAAGTAAAAAATGCCGAGTGTCTGTAGAGTCAGGTTAAAGAGTTACAATTTTAGATTTAAAAAAAACAACAAAAAAACTGTCTTACGGTTTCAGAATCTCAACTAAGCTGTCTGCAGGCAAAAGTCCTGGCTTTTCTATGTAAATGTCGTGTAGATAGGAGAACGGTGTGGTTTGAAATTTTGTTTGGACTTACAATACTGTGCAAAACTCTCCGACCATCCAGAATTTCTCTATACTCTGCTTCCAGCGTGTGGCATTTCCTTGGATTATTTTAAAGTTGTACAGATGATTATTTCTCAAGGATTTGTGAAGGTCTTTTTAAAGTTTTGTTCTGTTACTTTTAGTTGACTTTTCTAAAGGCAAATTAAGATTTTCCCATCCCTGGAGGTTATTATTATTATTTTTTAAAAGGCCAGAAATTACCATAAACACTGCTTAGCTGGTTCTAGTGCTCACTTAGCACCAGCTCTTTTTGTTTCTGCCACCGAAAGCATGAACTTTGTCACCTTAAAACCGGTTCTGCGTTAACAACGAGTCTTTACTAGTCTAGATGTAATAACTGTGACAACTTTGTTTAAAATGTCGGTTTAATTGTCAATCAATGCACTGATCTTGGGACATAAGAAACTTGTTTATTCAGTATTTCCCGTCACATAGTGACAGCAGCTCAAGCCAGAGCACAGAGTTGGTTCTGTTAATTTTAGTTAAAGCAACAGTCTGCAACCAGCGGTTCTGGAGCCATTTCTTCCATTTTCCATTATGGCTAATAACTTTAATGATTAGTGGACCTAATGTTAGTTACTAACATATTAAATCTCTGTTCTTAAGCATAAATATAATAAAAAAAATGCAGGTTTTAAGAGTTTTCAGAATTAGCACAACAGAAAGTACCAGTAATATTTTTAGATGCTTTTGTTTTTTTGTCGTTGAAAACTGTGTGCTTTTTTAACACATAACGTTTTTCACAAATATCAACGTCCCATTGAAGAAAATGTCGCCTCTTTAAAAAGAAAACAAATAAATAAATACATGTATAAAGGCGGTTCTTTAAAATTTATGGGAAAATTCCCATAGTAGACATTTATCAAAAGCTACATATGTTGATCTTTCTGAAAAATATTATGAAAGGCCAAAAGTTGTAAATGAGTTTTTCCTCAGTTGGACTCAAAGCAAAAAATTCCTGTTTGGATTAAAATGTTTGTAGGTCCCTGATTTAAAGGAAAAAAAAGTTTGTAACTTCTCATTAGAACGTAATTTCACTAAAACTAGGTCAAAAATAAATAAATAAATAGATAATTCTTGAAATGGAGAGCATAGCTCCTGTTGGTCGTTTCTGATCAGAACATTTCTTTTAAGCTAAGCTGGGCATGCAGACGTCCGGATGCAGGAAAACCGATATAAGTAATGGGGGTTTGTGTGGTTAAACTGTCTGCCGGTGCTGCAGTCCTCCACAATAATTCAGAATACAACAGAGAGAGGATCAAACATTCACTGTGCATCTAGTACTAAACCGGGGCTGGTGCTAGAGCTGCTTCTTTCCTAGCTCCAGAAAAACAAATGTCACTTAGTCAGCTAAACTCGTCTGGAGGAAAAACATCTATAAGTGGCCTTGTTTTTTTTTTTTGCCTTTGGCACCAATTTCCCAATTGAAGAATTTGTAGTGTTAAAATGATCATTAATTCTCAGCACACAATGTGAGTGAAAGCACATTGTTTGCTTCAGCTTCTTCTGTGGGGAAAAACCTCTTACGCAGAAGCAATGGTCATTCCACGCCTTCGTTATTTTCCACTTTTGCAGTTTTATCTGTTTTGTACCTTTCAGCATGAATTCATACCCACCTTAGGGAAGTTGATTTTCAATCGTTTTCTTTGACCTGCTTCTACTCTTCTGTAAGGAAAAAGCGTCCCTCCCACAAGGAAGTTTCTCGTTACCTCTTTGGTTTTATCTGGCGGTCATCATCCATAGAGAGTAAGATGAAATCTTACCAGAAATACCACACAATTTAATTAAATTATTCATCATATTTGAGAATTTTTAAAAATCGTTTTTATGATTGCTAGTTTTCTGCTAAATATTTACCTGCAAAACTCATTGAACTGTAATGCACTGGTTAAAAAAAAAAAAAAAAAAAAGTTTTGTTGACAAGTGCAAATTTGGACAAAAAGGCAGAAAAATCGTTAGGGGATAGTTGTTCCAAAGACTTCATATAAACTTTCTGTGCCCAGAAAACCTCTAATGGCAAAAAGCACCAACCCTAAAGCTAAATTATTTCTTCACCTGGAGGAAAGTCATTTTGGTTTCATTATCAGCTTAAACTTGGATTTCATCTCAGATCACCCCAATTGTCCGAATTCATCAAATTTATCAGAAATTCATCCGGAAAAGTAAACAAACATTCACATCATATCATAAAGGGTGTGATTCCAAGCTCTTCGCTACATAGAAATACATTTTCCATAAGTTTGGTAACTTATCTTTGTTTTTGTTTTTTTCAAGACAGTAAATGTAATGTAAGTCTCTCCATACATACTTTATTACTAAAAATAAAAAAATAGCTTTTTCACAGCATCATCTTTTTGGAAAGATGTTCGAAAATCTTAATCCATTTGTGTTTATTGGGCAAAATCTTCATAAATGTTTTCACCTAAATGGAATGAAAAATGTGATAATCTCTTTCGGAGATGAGGTTGGAGCTTTATTGTCCGTCTTCTTGGCACCTTTTGGTTGTTGCAGATAACTCTGACGTGGAACTACTTTGTGAACAGCAGTGGTTTTTGATATGGGCAACATGGGCAGTTGCCCAGGGCGTAATTAGAAGGGTGAAGAAGGGATGGGGTGGGGGGCAGAAACCACCAATGTTTGGAAAGTTTTATTATTTATTGTCTCATTGTGAACAACAATTGCTTTCACTGGAATTATTTGAAGGTGAAGAGGTCTCACTCTGTCTCTATCTTTGCTTTCAGGTTACTCAGCTACCGCTAGCTTTTAATTACAAGTGATTACTTCTTATCTAGTGTTTGCAGATAGAACATGCAGAAAGATGCCTCTAAGGTATTTATAAAGTGACCTTTTTCTTTTTAAGTAATGTGATTTATTATTATTTTTTTCTAACTTGCGTCTGTGGTGTGTAAATATTACAGAACTTTGGCTGCGTGTTCAGGCTTTAAAATATGTCTGCTGGGTCGCACTGGCTCTGTGGCCGAGTCGTTACGGTTGAGATGTAAATAATTCTTCTTCACCATGGTAACTGAGCTTTTTCCATGGAGGAAAACATGTAACTTAAATGATTTCATTTTTCTTTAGTTGGATCCAGGAACTGTCATAATGTTCTCTCTCTGATCTGAGTTACACAAAAAAAGCAAATATTGTTGAAATGTTTTGTATCCAGAAAGTGTGAGATAATAAACTAATGCCATCAGTATGTTTTTGGGACTGATTTCATACAGTAAAAGCTTGCAGTCTTTCAATTGTTGTCTTTGTTGCTATTTGAACAAATGCTTTTAATTAAAGGCTACAATATGGGTAATAAAATAAATTCCTCTTTGCAGACTGGAAATAGGAAGCCTTGTTATCAGTTTTTGACAACTTGAAGCAATCTCAAACAAATATTTTTATTTTTAAATCTTGAAAATATAATGTGCAAAGATCATCAAAAAATATTACATCTGATGAAAAACGACACTTTCATTCGATAAGAGGAAAATGCAGCCAAAGCTACCGAACCCTAAGTTGAGAATAATCTGACTGAACTTAATGTCTGGTTCTAACATCAAGTGTCACTGAAGATTTGCCAAAACTGCCAGTTCAGACCTTTTCTTCATAGCAGAAATGTTTATTTCTGCAACACTAGAAGGTTTTCAAACATGAGTTAAGTCCAGACTTTAACTAGGCCACTCCAGAATCAGTTTAGCCATTCAGAGGTAGATGTGCTAGTGTGCTTAGGGTAACACGAGTGTACTTGCATGGTGGCCACACATTCGCGTTGAGGATTTCCTAGAAGAGAGCAGAATTCATGGTTCCATCAATTACATCAAGTCGTCCAGGTTCTGAAGCGGCAAAGCAGCTCCGGATCATCAAACTACCACGACAATGTTTGACCTTTGGGATGATGGTTTTTTTTCTCTGTATTAGTTACGCACAAGACGTAACTTTTGTCTTGCTCGTCCACAGAGTATTTCACCCACATTGTCTTTTGGTAAATGTGGGAAAAACATGTAGGTTCTTTTTGATCAGCAGCGATTCTGGCGTTGGAACTCTTACGTGGATGTCATTATGGCCAAATGTCTTTCCTATTTTTGAACGCCATTGTTGTGAATACTCAACATACACAAGTGAGGCCTGCAGCGCTTTAGACATTGTCCTGGATTATTTTGTGACCTCTTTTATGGATTGGCCACAACTGAGACCACTCACTACTCTCACTACTCTTCTATGTTTCTCCTCTTGTTTAATGTCTCTTGTTCCCGTTTGTCGGAGTCACAAATGATGTGAAATTGACTCTTTCCAGACAGATGGAGATCAATGTTTTTGCATTCTTTTACATCAGGCAAATGGCATGTCCTACATGTTGCATGTCCTACAAGAAGGATTTATATTACATTTTTCTGTTTAGAACCAAAATGGCACTTTTTGATGATTTTTAAACAGCCAGAATCATACAGGATTCAGAGAAGCCAGACCCGAGCAGACACGAACAGTTGCACAACCATAAACTCACACAGTACAGTACAGTACCATCCACTTTCCTCTCTTCGTTATCTCTCTCCAGATTCCTCTTTGCATTCCTTAGCTCTGCTCTCAGTGAAAAAAAAGATAAAAAAATTAATGTGTTTTTTCTCAGCCAGCCTCTCTGGCCGCCCTGTTTTTTTTTTTAAACTCCTCATCTGTCCTTGATCACCAACAGCTTAGTTTTTCAGGTCAAAAGTCATTGCGTACTTCATGTCTTTTTTTTTTTGTCTCCATCTCAGAGGGAATGTTTATTAGTCAATTATTAACAGCACTTACTTTCAATAAATTAATTTATGGCGTTCTAGATTTTTCTAGCGATACTGTTTTTGTTTGACGAAAAATCCGCAAACTCGAAAACAAAGACATATGGGTTTCTTTTTGTGAACTTTTATCGTAAGTTTAGCCAAAGTGTTAGTGTAAATCAGACAATGTGTCTAATTCCCTCCGTGGAAATCCCCTGAAACTCCCCAGGGCTCTTGTGCTATATCTCAGCTGTCGGACAAGGCCCACATCTCTCATCCCTCTTTCTGCTCTTTGTGTGTGTGTTTAGCATTTAATCTCTACTCCATCCTCTTGCCGACGAGGCCCTTTGAAGCCTGATATCTGGTCAGTGTAACTGTGCTTTTGTCCACTTTCAGTAGTCGCATTACACACTGGATCTTCATGCTCTGCTTCGAACGGATACAGAGAGCGTAAACCATATTACAATGACAAGAACCATCTTACATGAACCCATCACAGAAGTCTAGTATGTAAAGTTAATTCTGACATTTTATTTAACAATTTTTTGACCTCAAACTTTGTATTCAGAATATAGCTTTAAAGTATCTATCTATCTATCTATCTATCTATCTATCTATCTATCTATCTATCTATCTATCTATCTATAGATCTATAGATCTATTGTCCGTCTGTGGATGGTTATATGGTAGATGGTCTAAGCCTCAGCTAACTAAAACAAATCTAGCCAAATTCTATTGGAGGTAAAAATGAAGTGAAAGGAAAAATAAATTAAATATTGCAGTAATGCTGTATTTGTGTTGAAACTAAGGAGATGATGATCCTGTAGATGGTTTTAGTCCTGGTCCAGCTCTGCACAGTCCATCCTCCTGATCGATAACCAACCACAGAAACACACACACACACACACACACGCACACACACACACACACACACACACACACACACACACACACACACAAAAGCACACACACACATACACACACACTAAAAGAAACTAAAAGAGTACATACATACACACATTCATACATACGTACACATTCATAAGTCATAAACAAATAGGTAGCAGTAGCAATAAAATAATTATCTCTGCAATATTGTACATTCAACAGTTAGTTCTTCAGTTTTGGTTTTCTTAAACCACTTTCTACAACAGAAAATGAATTCGTGGTATCCATCGCAGCTGTTGGATTTTTATTTACTTATGTATTTAAATGGCTATTTATCTATTTACGTTTGTTTGCTTTTTATTTTGCAGAATGCCTTTTCTTTACCACTTCTTCTGATTCATCATTTTCCTTTTGTCCATAAATCAACCTTGCTATCAAAGAAGGGTTATGAATGAAATAGTTTATAATTAAGAGAAAGAAGAAGAAGCAGTTTGCAGCCTTTTTGGGGAGGCTGGGAGGTCACTCGTGCAAGTTGGCTGATGTGCTGCAGGGGTCAAAAAGGTCAGGTTGTATTCAGACTCTCTAAAAAAACACTTTCAAGCACTCAGCCTGCACAAGCAGCTGATCTTTGTGACTCCTCCAAATCCCTCTCATGTTGATTTGTTTCCTCACTCTAAGAGGAGCAGAGCAGAAACCAGGAGAGAAGATTAATTATGACCTTCTCTTCTCTTCAACTCCGCTGTGTTTGTTTTCATAAGTTACGCTCAAACCCTTTCCTGACTCTGTTGTTGATCACTCTGGCGCTTAGCTTCACTGATTTCTTTAAGGTTAACATTTCAGAAAGATTGCTCCTTGGCAACAAAGTCTGATGTTTGGTGTCAGTAAATGTACACTGACCATATTCAGCCACACATTCTTCCAGAGTTTCAGTTTTCAGGTTACCATTAAAGTGATCTAATCAGGTTGTTTTGTTGATTTTATTGTGGTTGTTTTTAACTGTATTTGAGAATTTCCTTTCTAAAATATAAATAAATGTTCATGTAAATTTTAACGACTTCTAAAAAGTTATATTTTGTGTTTTCAGGAAGAGCCACAGGTCGTTTTGGGGAACTCTGCCTCCACCTAGTGGTTGATCTGCATCATTACAACTTCATCTAGTTAAACTGAGCCTTGTTTGTTCTTCGGTGCATTTCCCGAAACCATATATAGTGGGAATATAGTGGGAGTTCACTCAGTATGGGAGCTTTCCTGTCTATTTATGGACTCCATATTTCAATTCTGAATTAATACTGAGTGTTTCCTGCTCAAACTTTACAGTAAAATATTTGACGGGATAACATTTGTGAATTGAAAACAGTTTGAAAGATGAACATCTTTAACTCGTTTAGGTGTGACGTCTGTAAATGCGAAGAAAACACAGCAGAAAACATTCATTTTTAGTTTAAGCTAAACTAATGTATTTCGAGCTAAAGCTAAGCTAAAAATAAATTCTGCGCTCAGTTTCGTTTTCATTTTACCTGCGGTGAGCCAGCTGATTAGCCCCGCCCCCTGCTCTTCAGAAACGTGCATAAGTTTTGTTTCTCTTCTTTCTGCTAGGTTTCGTTTCCGTCAGCTGAGCAACATATTAAACATCAGCTGTTGTCCTGGTGCGGCTCACAGGCGAGATGTTTTCTTGGGGAGAAGACTGTCAGCGAGGCTTCTGCCTCAAAGGAGACCCCATCACAGAAGAAGGAGTTCATTATTTAAATTTTGGTCATAATGTCACGGATCTATCAGCAGGTCGCAGCGTGCTGGCTTTCCTTAAATGTAACGGGAATGCATTCATTTTGCGCACTAATGAGAGCAAAGACGGAAACAGAGTAAGAGGAAAACAGAGTGAGTATCTGTGTGAGGTTTTTTTTTTTTTTAGTATATAAATGCGTTTCGAGTTCACTAATGAAGTCTGTTCTTTTTGTCATTTCTGAGTTTTCGACGGCTTTTATTCACTTATCAGTGGCATTGTTTTGTATTTAGTTTAGGCTTTTAACGACTTGAATTTGTCAAGGACTGATAATAGGATATACACTATAACTTCAAATATTAAAAAAAAACATCCTGGAAGGGTGCATGATATTGAATTTGTGTAAACTCCCCCCCCCCTCCCTCTACTTCGTTCAGGTTCCAAATTTACAATCAGTGGCACCAATGGGTGGGTCATTCCTTTAAATTTTCGACTCTGCCCTACCAACAAATCTTGTATGCATAATGTTAATAAAAAATAAATTTAGGAGAGATTTCATGAGTTGCTATACATTTATTTATCTATTACTGACATCTGGCAGCATGAGGCAACAACGCCATGCTCAAATAACGGATCTGAAGGGGCCATTTTTATAGAGCTGACATCAGTCTGATGTCGTCATGAGTAAATTGGTACGTTAATCCAATGCATATGAATTAAATCTGTGCATTTGCAGAGTTTGTGAAGTGTAAGGAGAAGATTGAGGCAGTGAGTTGTGAAGATGACGTCGTGATGCTGCTGTCTGAGAAAGGCTCTGTTTTCTGTGTGGACACCACCCACACCCCGTACACACCCAGGTGAGAAAGCAAAGCAAGGTTACTATGCTGGCATACCAGCAGCTTCGATTCATTCTACAGGTCGTCTGATTCTTGTTAAGACTTGATTAAGATTTGTCTTCTACTTTCTTGCAGGACATTGGACTCTTTTTCTAGCATACCAGTTGTACAGGTTGCGTGTGGAAGCCAGCATTCAGTTGCTCTGACAAAAGGTTTTCAATATTTCTACATTGTCAATGGCAAATTATATTATTAACTTCAGTCTTCTAATATTTTCATTTTATTGGTCTTGCCTTCGTCACATTGACATGAGCAGTTGTTACTGAGCTTTTCTTGGCTACTCATTTTTGCACCATAATCATGTTGCGATTTTAAGAGTCTTAAGATTAATTAAGATGCTTAAGACATGACATGAGCAGTTCATGATGTAGTGATGTCGATTCAGTAGTCAATCCTGGTGATCTTCCTTCAGAGGGTCAGGTGTACACCTGGGGCCTGGACTCCAGGGGTCAGCTCGGACTGGGGAAGAGAAGTTCAGGAGCGAGATCACCTCAGCAAGTCCGATCCTTGTTGTCCGTCCCCGTGGTTCAGATCTCTGCAGGAGGAGACCAGAGCTTCGCCCTCTCTGTGTCCGGAGGCGTGTTCGGCTGGGGCAGAAACGACTGTGGACAGCTCGGACTGGGAGACACAAAAGGTGCTGTTGGAAATTACTCCATAGCTTTGTGACTTACAATAACATATTCAAATGTCTAACCTTGCATAATAAAGTTCATGTTCTTTTCTTTAGACATGTATACACCAGCTTGTGTTCGTAGTTTGAACCTGAAGAAAACAGGCGACATTTGCTGCGGAAAGGACCACACCGTCGTTTTGACGAAGGTTAGGCAACAAAATCAAAGCATCTAATTTGTTCTTATTTGAAGTATTGCATTAATGCTTGAAGAGCATTTGTGTGTTTGGATTTTTCAGCATGGGGCAGTGTTCACATTCGGTTCTGGTCGATATGGGCAACTTGGACACAACTCCTTGCGAAATGAACTCCGGCCTCGACTTGTTGCTGAACTTTGGGGGGCAAAAGTTATCAAGATTGCATGCGGGAGGTAAATTACAGCTTGTTGTATCATCAACACTTTAAAGGAAAAATGTTGTCTTAAATCCACATTAAATTATTGTTTGAAAAGAGACATTAGGTGTAGTAGTTTCAATTTATTTATCCAATGCAAAATTACTTATTCAGACTCAAATATTTCCCCACTAATCTCTACTAAGTTGCATCTGAACTACACTTTTTTTCAGCCTTTGACATGTTCCTGGTCTAAATTTGGCCAACTATTTGATCGGGTTATTTAAATAGGTTAGTTTTCTTGCACAGACTATTGAGCATTGAATAAGTTGAATCATTTGGAGACTATCCTTTCATTCATACAGCTATTATACAGTAGCTCTGGTAGGAAAAAAAATGTCCCAGTGCTTAAACAATAATAAAAAAAATCACCAGCATAGTGTTTACAATGTTTATGATGTTCTTTCAATCCAGGTATCACACATTAGTTTTGACACACAGCCAAAAAGTCTACTCCTTTGGTTGTGAAACTCAAGGTCAGCTGGGAAACAGAGAAGAAAGCAATCCATCTGTGCCGCTACCTGTTCGTCTACCTCCAGGTAACTAGAAATAGAAATCTAAACAGTATGTTAACTTTATATAGTAATTTACTTCATTGCTGCTTTCTGATGCAGTTCATTCCAGAATTGGAACTGTCTTTGCTGGAGAAAACTGTTCATTTGCAGCCTGCTCTTCTGATGAGGTACCAGGGGCAATGTTTGCCAAACAGAGAGATTAACATGCAACAGGATCAGTCACCTCACCTCACTTTTTTTTTCTTTTTTTTTTCCATCTACAGGATGTTAGCATAAATTCAGACACTAGCACAGTCAGCAAAGCAACTCAGCATGGTTTAGAAGATTTAGTTGATAACTGGACGTCTAAATGTGATGAAAAGTCATGGAAAAAGATTAAGCAGTGAGTATTTACCACTAACAGACCGTTTAATAACATGACGTTAATTTCTGTTACTCTAAATGAAAACTACTGAAACTTTTATTCTTCTTCTCTTCAGGGAAATCCACAGGACATTTTCATCTGCATCCTGTTTGAACAAAAGCTTCCTTGAAGAAGGGTAAAGATGCAACTGTTGACATTTGTGTAACTTGAAAGTCGAAACATCCCCTTTTCATTTAACTCACTTATATTCTAATTCATATGGACATAACTTAATTAAAAATTGTGGTAACATTTTATTTGAAGGGGTGTCCATAAGACTGACATGACACTGTCAAAAAACATGACATAACACCTGTCATGAACATAAAGAAGTCTTTATGAATGTTTATGACAGTTGTCATGAAGTGTCATTCGGTAAATAATGACACTTTTAATGCAAAGTTGCTCTAAAAGTTGCACTGAAAGTCCATTAAAAATGCCAACTTTGCATTGAATTGTCATTATTTGTCGAATGACACTTCATGACAACTGTCATAAACATTCATAAAGACTTCTTTCTGTTCATGACAGATGTTATGTCGTGTTTTTGACAGTGTCATGTCAGTCTTATGCACACCCCTTCAAATAAAGTGTTACCAAAATGGCATTATGTCTATTAATCTTCAATAAATGTATGTTTATTTTTCAATATATTGGATGTCTTAAAATAGACCAGTTATTCAATTATTGAAATACCGTTTATTTCAGTCTAGTAATAAATCAAAGATCATAATTGATGCTGACTCTCTTTACTTTTCTACTCAGAAAAAATAAACATTTCCAAACCTCATCAAAGTACCACGGTCTGAACCTGAAACTGGCTCGACGACATTTTAAGAAACTGGTAAAAACAGAAGATGTCTGGATAGAGGTTTGTCTCTCTTCCTGTCCAATTTTATACATTTGCTTTTTCAGACAACTACATGATAACTTGTTTTATATACTTCCACTTGGTTTTTCCTTTAATCCACTCGTTTGTGTGTATATTTATCTGTCAGGTTGAAGCATCAGTTCTGCGTTTGCTCCCTCTCTTTGATAAGAACCCAGTAGGAGTGGAGAGTCTGAGGATCTTTCTGCTCCTCAATGAGCTCCTTCATGTCGTCCAGAAGCACAGAAAGCAGCAGCAGCGCAGCAAGTTAGCTGAGATGGTCGCTACTGCTGTAACAAGTCTGTCAAGGGAAAGCCTCAAGGTTTTAGGTACTGTTACCTAGTTTAGCTGAAATTACTTTGGCAAGTGATTGAAGCTCTGTTTGGTAAATGTTAATGTTGTCATCTCTAGGTGAGTGGTGGTCCTCGCTGTCGTCATCCACCATGGAGAGATTTGTCAGCGTGTGGAGGAAAGCTCTCTGTGTGATCTTGTCCGATGAGGGTGCTCCTCGCAGTGACGGTGTCAGGAACCTGCTTCAAGTTCTTCAGTATATGTACAATGTCAGTATCATAATTTAAAACAGGGCTGCCATGTTTGTTTGTTAATGATAATTAAGGTCTTGTCCGTGTCCTCTTGACAGGTTAACAGCAGGATGTCTGAGTCTCAAAGGCTGCCAGAAAGTGATTTTTATGTGATGATCGACCAAAAGTTTCTCCTCGGAGAACTGCAAATCTGGCGTTCAAAATCAAAACGCAGGGTAAGAAAGTTTCTGTCAGATTTAACTCGGAAATTAAACAGACATCTCATTTGTAAAACACTGAACAACTAGAAACTCGAAGATCATATTGTGCTTTTTACCTTTTTAGTATGTGCGTGATGAGCCAGTTGTTCTGTGCAACTTCCCGATTGTGATGGATCTGCAAACAAAGAAACTGGTTTTTGACATGAATACTTACCTCACTTGGGTAACCGCTGTTTTATTA